TTGACCGCAACTCTTTGAGTGCGACCGTCCAGCCAATTCCTTCTCCATCTGTCAAACCCGTATCTCTCCAATTTAGAGACAAGGATGACATGCGGGACAGCGTCAAACTCTGTGCACAAGTCCAGGTAGATGACGTCAGTTGCTCTTCCCTTATCCTTTTCTCCTGCTTTTTCTTATCTTTCCTTATAAACACAGCCATCAGTTCACTCCTACATTTAAATACTAATACCTTACGGAATCCATTGCGTTCATCTGAAAACTGTTCTACTTGTAGTATCTATTAAAAATGTACTGCAACATGGAGACACAGATTACTGGCTATAACTCAGATATTGCCATAGTTCTTGCTCAACAGAAAATACGGCAGTCACCTATTCAATAGGTTAGAGATTCTCAGTTTTAGGATCACAGGAACTTGGGAAGCAAGTGCTCCATTTTACAGAGTGTATTGAACTCACATAGTTTAGTGCGAATTTTTTTTAAAACTTTTATTCTTTTGTTATTAACCTAATACCTTCAATAAAACTAATTTTAGATTTCTTAAATGCAAGGAGGACCATGAACCTCTGCTACTGCTTGACTGAAGAGAAAGACTGAGAAAAGGCTGAAGAAGGAAAGAGGTGGCTATCTCCTTTTGACAGCTTAAAATCAGATTAAAACCAACTGTCACTCAACCATTTATTCAAATCTTCACTTCAACCTGTTTACATGAGTCTCCCTGCTGAGTGGAATAATACTGAAGGCTTACTTTCCACAGGTTATTGCCTAGAAGACAACTTCTACTATTCAAAATTCTTTAAAACAGGCCTGGAACGGAGCTAGGAGGAGTTAAATCAACAGACCATGATCACAAATTAGTGGTTATCACCTTCATCAGACATATGAACTCTGCCTGTGGTTCCTATGACTCTACTGACAGTAATCCTGTAAAAGCATGCTACTATAGTAGGAGTCTGAAAAACACCTGCACATGATCTGAAATAATACCAAGCAAGACATTCACAGTGATTCTACCTGAATACGACTTTGTTCTGGTGGTAG